ACGGCAGTGGCGTAGCAAGCTCTGCTGAGCCACTGCCACTACGTCACACCCCGGCCTGCGTCCCCCTCCATCGCTCCTGCCAGGTGCCCGTGGCCGGCTGGGGACCCACGGCCTCGTGGCTGGAAGCCACGAGGGCTCCCTGGCCAGCTGGGACACGTTYGTTACCTGATGCCGCTCGCTGCTGCCTCCCAGCACGCAGACGCGCCACGAGGGTCAAGCACAAGCTAACTGAATGCATAACTTTATTAAATAAATGCTTTGTCATGAGAAAAGACAAAGATCAAAGAGTAACATAAATTATAAGTTGAATAAATAGTATACAGCAATCTTCACTTTTTAATAAAATGTGAGATTTTTTTTTAAGTACAAAATGCTAAACAGAGCATTAAGCTCTTCTTCCATTGTCAGTTTTTCACAAACTGCTTTTTTTTTTTCCCACCAGTAAGATTATGAGTATTTCTTGTTTACTGGAAAAAAAAAACAACAAAAACAAAACGAAATGAAACAACAGAGCTACCGTATGTATGTAAAGCTATAAAAAGCTACCGTAAAATGTGTAGTGAGTATTGCTTAAAGATAAAAACCAGGCAGGAAACTCGGAATCTGGTGTGTTAACAACTGTGTTATAACGGTGGGTAACTTGTGTGGTGATGTCTGTCCCGGTGGCAGTGACGGGGCTGCTGGCTGGGGTAGGGAAGGGAGCACAGTACATAGGTTCCTAGCCAGGGCCAGGACAGCGGTCGGGAAGCAAGGTGAACTGTCAGTTTTTAAATATACAATGCTCCGTTCGGGAAAAAAATCAACAACAAAAAAAAAACCAACAACAAAAAAAGAGTTTTCAAAGGGGAAAGAAAAAGATGTGGGTGGGGGAGCGGAGAAATAGTGCAAAATGCTCTTGTACTAGTGGTTTTCAAAGTCCACTGCAGTACAGACGAGGAATAACCCAGCTGCTTAACGCCGCTCCCCTGGGAGGCCTGGCCCTCCTCACGCCTCTTCCTCTCCTGGCCAGCCCAGGTCTCCAGCACCGACTCGGTGCAAWCCCTGTGGCGAGGCAGCCGAGGCAGAAGAGCCCCTCAAGCCCTGCCCTTCCACGTGGCCGCTGACTCGGGAGTCACTGGCACCTCCCCGTGCTCCTTGGGACCCTCACAGACCTCCTAGGCTCCCCAATCTTCTCCCCCGCTTTTTTTTTCCTCACTGCAAATGTAGAACAGGCCGGTGCACCCACCACAAAGTGCTGAGCACGGTGCACCTCATTGCTGCTGCCCCAGGGAACCACTTCTGAAGTCGGTCTTTCTCTCAGCCCAACCCCTGTCCCAAACATTAGTGCAGCCTTCAAACAGCCTCGTCCTGGAAGAGCGGGTCGCCGGGAAGCTCCTGCTGTGGCCACCCAGTGCCGCTGCCCTGGAACAGAGGTGAAGGCAGCACTACCCTCTCCTGCCTCCTCTTCCTCCTCCTCTGGAGGCCACGTTGGTGGGGACGGGACAGGCAGTGCCGTCCCAGCCCAGGATTTGCAGGATGGAGGCTGCTTGTGGGGAGATGTCAGTGCTCTGGGCTTGCAGGGCCAGAGGCTGCGAGCTGCTTTATAGGCAGAGCCTGGGGGAGCAGTGAGAATGTCACTGGAGGCAGTGTCACTGGAGGCAGTGTCACTGGAGGCAGGCGTCAGCGTGGGGGTGACAGGCAGGGCCCCTAGTCTCCCCATAGCCAGGGTAGCCCTGTTACAGGCAGGGTGTCACCCTGTGTCCCCCTCCTCCCATGTCGTCGCAGGTGTCACAATGGTCCATGCCAGGAGGCCACCGCCAGGCCCATGGCTGGGCTGTGTGGCCACCTGCACGGGCCTGCAAGCCACCATGGGCTGAAACACTCCCCTCCGAGCTCTGGCCCCAAAACACGGTCAGAGGGGAGCTGCTGCCTCCCAGCCCTCCGCTCCCATCCCACGAGCCCATGGCCCGTGGGCAGTACAGCTCCTTTCTCTGCAGCCAAAGGCTTTCAAGTTTTGGGAAATCAAACAACAAAATAAACAACAACAATTAAAAAAAAAAAAGGTAAGAGAGAGAAGGAGGAGAAAGAAAGAAAGAAGGGAAGAGTATTGGAGGAAGGTGGTACTGGCCAATTACAGTCAGGAGGTTTTGCATGGGATCAGCAAGCGCAGGAGACGGGAAGTGTTTGCGATGGTAGCTCTGTGGCCCACAGCTCCCTTGGGGTTTTCAGGGGCTCCTCCTCCATCTGCCTTCTTCACTGCCGTTCTACATCCCACCATCACCAATTCATTAAAGGCCCCCAACCCAGCCTGGTGGCACAGACCTAGCTCCGTCAGCCCAACGAAGCCTGGCAGGGTTCTTCTCCCCTGCCAGAACACACTGGTGATGCTCCCCTTTAGCAAGGTGTGCGGGGGCTGCCCTGCTCCTGCATTTTGAGGGCAGGCAAATCTGCATTTGGTTTCGCTCCTCTTCTTTTTGGCAAGGAAGGAGGTCTTCAAGACAGCTCCCAATGCTCTCTGTTCCATTGCAGACAGGGACTCCTTTAAGTCTCTAAGGTAAACTCGAACTCAACATGACTCTACAAAAAGCAACCAAGGYCCCACAGTGGTGGACATACACGGCCAGCTGCAGCCACCCACAGTCCTGTTGCTCCACACCAAGGAGGTGAAGACGTGTGTGGGAAATGAGAAGCTCTCCTTAACTTCTGGTCCTGCCATTCCTTGGGCAGAACTGACCTGGAGAAAGCATCTTGCTTGGGCCATGCTCCCATAGGGAGGTGCTGGTGGTCCATGGCCCACCTGATCCGGGGCCTGACGAGCAGGAGGGATGCTCAGTGTGCCCCACTCGAGGGAGCCAAAGCTGTCCCATGGGAGGCTGCTGAGGGCACATGGCCAAGCAATGGACATGACCCTTCGCCAGAGCTYCTTGGTGCACAAGTCCCCTTATCCTGGCCATGCTGGCAAGGGACTCAGTTAACCAGGGCCTTTTTATCCAGATCCAGGAGGCTAAAAGGGCTTTGGAAGAAGCAGAGACCCTTCCTCTGCTCCAGAACAAAGGCAGACAGTGCCATGCTCTGTGGAGTGCCCTGTTGCTTCCCCAACGTGTTGAGTGATGCTGGTTCTGGCCCTGTGGCAACCACCCCTTGCYTTCCTTGCCCGTCCCGGTGTGCAGCAACAGCGCGTCCTTCTGCRGCAGCCGTGCGAGGTGGACGGGTGAAAACCACCTTGCACTTTGCATCCTTCCGGGACATGGTCTTCAGGACATGTCCTGCCCACGTCTTCCGGCGTTGCTCTYAAGCCTTGTCGCATCACAACAGTTCCCAGTGAGTGCAAGTTTGTGTCCCAAAATGGCAACCCACACGTCCAACACATCTCCAAAGCAGGGCATTGCTCTTTCTTTTTTTTTCCTTTCCTTTTTTTTTTTTTCTTTTTTTCTTTTTTTTTTTTTTTTTTTGTTTCTTTTCTGCTGCAGGATCTCCTCCAAACACAAACTTAGCAGAGACCCTTGTCATGGGGAAATGAGAGGAAGCAGTCCCAAAACTGAACATAAAAAATAAAAACAACAAAAAGCAGGACGGCAATTAATGGCTGTCTAAGCAGGCCTGAGTCAGTGGGTCTCTGTGCTGCGGTTGCTGCTGTCACTAAACAAGTATCTGGATCCTGGATTAAGCTTGAGGGTCCGGTTGCAAGGGCATGATTACAGGATGGGAGATGGGGCCAAGGGGAATCGTCTGTGGCAAACGTGTAAGCAGGATCACAATATAAAAGGATGGAGACGACATTTTCCAACCCATGGGAAAGGCTGGAAATCAACCTTTAAAAAAAATCTAAGACAAAACAAAGTTTTTTTTTTTTTTTCCCTTGGAGCAAATCATTTTTTTCTTGTCTGTGAAAAGAATAATAATAATAAAAAAGCTCCATAGCTGGTCTTCCTTGTAGTGGCAAAGGGTGGTGAAGATTTTTGGCCCCGATCCCCTTGTCCCCACAAATACATGCTGCAGTTGAGATCTTGATGCCTATTTGTGGAATGGGCTCGATGCTTCGCCGTTCGCAGGGCCCTGATCCCGCAGACACTGATGCACCTCCTAAGCTTGCTCCTGTGCTTAGTCCAGCGGATTTCTTTTGGGGGGCATCTCTCCCCTTCCGTACAGTTAAGCCCTGAAGATTGCAGGTTTTGAGGCCAGCTTTGCAAGGAGGCAAAGCCACATCTGTGCACACACACACTGGTGCACACACACACAAACACATGCACTCAACCAATGCTTCCACACCTGGATGGATAACTTTCAGAGTCCAGCTTGTCCACAAATAAGTTCTCTGACCTCCCGTTCAAGAGGGACTGGATTGAGAAGTATATGTTTCCTTTTTGAATTGCTTCTTTTTCAAGTCCACAAATATTTTGTGTCAGGTACTTGTGCTGTTGCAGGAGCTGTTTTTCCCTCCCCGGCTCATCTCCAGACTCAAAGCAAACCATTCGACTCCTCCTCCCATTACACTGCTGCCTGGTCTGTGGCGCTGCTGGAATCTGTCTGGATCTGGGGCAATCGTTTGAGATGGAAATCACATGGACTTGAGGGAGTCCCAGTGATGTGGGCAGGAAACTCCAGCAGACTGGCGTCAGGAGAGGAAGGAAATGCTGTTCGCCACAAGGTTTCCTCTCAACACCAGTTAGAAAATGACTAGCTAATCAAAAAAAAAAAAAAACCAAAAAAGCACCCCACAACCCATACTAGCAAATCACCAACCCAGAGAGCTTCCTACATCAGCATGGCCTCTGCTCTGCAGCAGAAAGGTGCAGGTGGCATTGGGGAGAGGCACAGGCAGCCACGGGATGGCAGTGGCCGAAGGTGTTTTGTCTCTGGCTCTGTCCTTTCCTTGCTAAGTCCTTGTTGTCAAGACGCTGCTGTAGATTCTGAGTCCTCAGTTTCTTCAGGGTTTATTTTTCTCTTCTCTTTCCTCCTTTTCTCTTTTCTTTTCTTTTCTTTTCTTTTCTTTTCTTTTCTTTTCTTTTCTTTTCTTTTCTTTTCTTTTCTTTTCTTTTCTTTTCTTTTCTTTTCTTTTCTTTTCTTTTCTTTTTTCTTTTTCTTTCTTACATGAGATGAAAGGAATCGGAGTCCTGGGGCGCAGGGAGGTGCGGAGGGGAGGGTGGAAGGGAGCCTGGGATAGTGACGGGGCAGAGGGACAGGGTGCACGTTCACTCCACGTTGCTGCTGTCGAACGCATGGCACTGCAGGTCTCCGCTCAGGTAATCAGTCCCCGGCAGCTTCATGCCGTATTTGTCCACGCACCAACACAAGCCACGCTTCCGGCCTCGGGATGGCTTGCACTGAGGAGACATCCAAGGGGAGAGATCAAGAACTTGACACAACCTCTGTGTAACTCTCTTGCTGGGGATAAGGGGCAGCCCTGTGGTTTGCCTTTTTCACCCATGAAGCCCTGAGGAAGGACCTAGATCTTCTCTCTGCTTTGACCACATCTCTATCCTCGCTGCTTCCCAAGCCTGAAGCTCTCCAAGTTTTCCTTCCCCCAACCCTCCAAGCCTTCAACATGTTCTTTTCAGGCAAGACTTGGTTTCRAGATGTTAGCAGGACCACCTGCAACCAACTCTCCCATGTCAGGCTTCCAGCAACCCTCCCATGAACCTAGCAGAGGAAAAACTCCATCTTTTCCATTTTCAGCAGTTGCAGTTGCATGGCGGGTCTCTGCCCCATGCCCCTCTCTGTCCTGCTYTTGAGGAGGGCATGGCAGAGTTCTTACCTGCTTCCGCTTGTAGAAGCCCTTTCTGTCGCAGTTTGGGAGGTGAACAGCCCGAGGGACCATCCGTTGGCTGCTTTTGAGCTCCTGCAGGGAGGCCTCCATGTGCCTGCGGCAAGGGCCCTGCCGAGTGAGGACATGGAAGTGCAGTGAGCCCGGAGGTGCCCAGACAGCCCAGAACAAGCACCACGCTGCTAATGCCCCTGGCTCCCCTCCCAGCTGCCAGTCTTGAAGAGGCCCAAGCCCTCTTGCAGCCCCCCCACCACAACAGATGCTCACCAGCTCAAACTCTTGCCGGAGCTCGGGGATGACAACACGGGGGTGCGCTGTGTTCTCTGCCATGCCCACAAACTTGGCCAGGGTCAGCTTCTTCCGACGGTCCTTCTTCAGGGCCTCAGCTTTGAGCTCGGAGAGGCGCCCAGGCTTGGGCCGGTAGGCCTTGGGTGGGTAGGTCTCTTCTGTCATCTCTGACGTGGTCGGCTCCTCGTGCTCTCGGGATTCCCTTTCTGGTGGGGGGGAAGAGATGCCAAATGATTAGTTCTCCCAAAGCTTACCATGCTTTCTTTTGCATAGAGACCATCTTGTCCCATCTGAGCAAACATCTTTGCACTAGCCAGGGAGGAAATGAATGATCAAGATCCACAAAAATTTAATTCAGCACATTGTCCAACATCTCCCTTCTCACAAAGCTGACGATGTCACTCCTGATACAACCCAGCAAGGCTCCAGCAGGAAGAAAACGATCCAGCTGAGCTACAGCCCACCCATCAGCTGGCAGAGAGAGACTGTGGTAGCCAGCGGGTGCACCACACACAGCCCTCATGTCCAAAGATACCCTCCTTGAAAGCACTTTTCCCAGCTGCTAAGACCCTGGCTTTTATCCCACTGTGTGGGATGTGGTGTGGCTTTCATGTGACCCCAAACATAGAAGAGGAAGGCCTCCGGGAGCACAGAGGAGTCAGGAGTCTTGGATGGGCTCCTATTTACAAGCCACTATCATTTACAATGTGTCAACAGAGAAGGACCATTAGGAGGATTATCCTACACCCAGGAAGGACCACAGGACATACAAAACGTAGTGAAAAAGCCCCTCTTCAGCAACAGCAGGAGAGTTAAGTGGCAAATTCATATCCTACACCCACTTGCAGGTGCTGAAGTAAAAGCTAGGGACACTTAAAGATGAATGATTCCATATTCAAGGTCAATCATCAACACAGCAAAGCCACCACATGCTCAGACAAACGCTCTGCCAGCGATGCCAAAGGCACAACTGAGAAACGTTGCAATCTCCAGGGCCCTCCGTGTGCAGCCCCTGTGCTAGGGTGCCCCATGCCCRTGGGACTAAACCAGCCCTGTTCACTGGCACATGCTGACCGAGCAGTCGGCCAAGCGCAGGCCAACCTTGCAGAGCACTCCTGTGATTGCAACCGTCAGGGCCAAAGGGAAGGCAGGAGTGTATTTAAACTGCACCCACTTGCCTTTTTATATGGCTCTCCGATCAGCCCAGCGTAACCTGTACCGACAGGATGCGATCAGGAGTTCTGCACGGTTATATATAGGACAGAGCTGGTGACAGTCTAAACTTAGCTGACTTGTGACCTTTAATACAGCCACTGAAGTGAAAGAGGGTTATTTCTGGACTAAATTTGAATACAGTTTTAAGCTCTCAAGGCTCCAGGTCTTCCAGTAATTGGTCCTCAGCTGGCCTGCGATAATGTCAGGTTGGTCCTGGGGCCAGCAGGCAGGAACAGCGGCAATGCCTCGATAGTACAAGGAAAAGCACCAGAGAAAGGCTGGAAGCTGTGGGTTGAGTCTGTGGGCAGGAATGTCTCCCTGCATGTCCATAGTGTCTCTTGGAATCAGTGAATCCARCCCAGTTCCAGCTGGAGTAAAACCCCAGCAATTTTACCCCTTCTTGCAAACAAAACTGCATGTTTGCAAGAAAAAGCTCCAGGGCTGAAAATGAGAGCTCATTAATCCCCGCAAAGGCCTTCAAGTATTTTCCCTATGGACTGATTTCTCCCTAGAGCGCCGATGCAGCCTGCGGGGTCTCTGCAGCCTGAGGGGCAGTGAAGGGCTCGGGCCCTGCACGCAGCCCAGGGATGCCTGAAGGAGCTGCCGGGGATGCCAGGAGGGTCCTGCCCAGCTCGGGGACACGCTGCTCGGCGGCAGATGGCAGCACAGGCCTGTCGCACAGGCTCAGTGTGATGGCCTTGAAGGTGGCCAAGGGGAGAGGCTGGGCTTGGGGTCCCCCAAGCCACCCCATCCATCAGTCTTCCCTCCTTCTCTGCCAATGCAAACCTGCCTTCTTCTAGCTCCCAAATTAGCAGCACATAAGAAATGAGGCTGGGCTTGTAGTGGAGATAACAGCACGGAGCAGGGGACGCTCATGGAGCGCAGCTTGCCCATGCAGGCAAGCAAATGAGCTGCGGGAAGGGGCAGCAGGGGAGAAAGGAAACCCTTGGAAGGGGGCTCTCCTATAAAGGGATGAGGGACAAAGCATAGGGAAGGAAATTGGGAAGCTCTTCTAGCTGACTGCGAGGCTYGATTTTTTCATTGCAGCTTACACTGGGTTCTGACAGAGAGGCAGGAAAAGTATCTATTGACTGCTGCTGCTAATCATCCATGCTCCTTACACCCACAGGCTGCTAGAGGACTTGCTGCTCTGCTCAAAAACTCGAAAAAAAAAGCCTTGTTCAGCTAAGAACAAGCAAAGCCAACACACATGACATTGATATACAGTCTTTTTGATTATTGCCATTACTATTATTTATAGTGTGAGTACTGACATAGCACAGCTTTGAGCAGAAAGATACTGAGGATGCAATGGGGATCTCAGGAAAACTTMTAGCACAGAGATAGTAACTGTTACCAGCAGAGACCTTGAGAAGTTGCCCAGTCCCTCCTCTGCCCTAAAACTGGGCCATCTCCCTTCTGAGGTGTTCATTGCAAGATGGAAATCAAGGCTTACGTTACCTAGGGCTGAAACATAGCCACTTCTAGAGCAAAAAGCGTCACCCTTAAACAGTGCAATGTAGCTGCGTGCAGTGTCTCTGCCCTCCAGTGGAGGAGGATTTACCTTTTGGAAAAAGTGTCACCTCACAGTGTTCCCATAAAGGGAGTATTCTCAAGTGCAGGACTTGGCAAGTGACCCCATTCTTCTTTTCCAAAAGGCTCTTTGTKATTGGAGGCTCTGGCAGTAGCTACCTTTGGAAGATCTTAGTTTCTGTCCCATCTCYGTGTTTTCCAAACCTTGCCGGGTGATCTTTGACACCTAGGCTTTCTTTTTGCGGGGAAGGACAACATTTCAGGGTCAGAGACATATGCAGCCAATGTTGGCGCCAGGGAAGGGACAGGATTTATGGGAAAGGCTGACGGAAAGGCAGGAATTATTCCACATGGACTCAAAGAAAGACTTCCCATTGAAATTGGGACCCCAAAGCACTAATTAAAACCAGATCCGCACGCTCTCTCCTAGTTTCACTATAACAAGAACTCCCCGCCACCAGCAGCTGCAGAATCCTCCCTATGGCAGCTCCGTTATCTGCCCAGCCTCAAGTTGGCTTCATGCATTTTCCTGATGAGTTGAACACACACATGCAGGCAGCATGAATAATCACTGAAAAGCAATGCTGTTTTCCCGCCCTGTACCTGTCTGAGGGACAGATTCCTCACATTYTGCCTTTCTCACTCATCCTTAAAGTACTGATTCTTGCTGGGCACCAGAAAGCAAATTCCCCAAACTCCATATGATAGGGAGAGAAGAAATGTTGGTGCTGTCCCTGAAAACAGTCTTCCCCTTGCAAATCTTCTTAGAAATGTACCTGTTTTTCCTAAGACTGGGTCTTCTCCAGGAAGTCTGTTCTCAGGTCACTGGCTAGAAAGAACCCGCTCTGAACATCCCCCTAGTCCCTGACTGATGCTGAAACTTCCTGGGATGGGCAGGCAAGTTTCTCCCCAGCCTGGACTCGAACCTCTGACCATAAGGGCAAAATAAAAATCTCCCCCATCCCCAATCCCCAATCCCCTCCAGCCTTGTCAGCGCACAGGGAGAGAGGCCGTGTTTGCATTCCTGAAATGTAGGCAGGGAASAGAGAATGCAGGCAGGGGAGGGCTGCAGAGAGAGGAGGGTCATCTCAACTCGCGCCCTTTGGCAGCTGGAGCTCACAACTGAGCAAAAACATTCCTGGGCTCCCCAGGGGACACGAGGATCAGCCCRGGCAGAAGGGAGCTTTTCATAATGTCCTAATGAAGAAAAATTCGTTTCCATTTCCACAGCAGGCAGGCATAAGCCGGCGAATGCCCCCTCGGCGTCCTGCTTGTGGCGATGGAGCAAGGAGGGTGCTGGGGGTGGGTGCCGAGGGGGCTCAGGGTGACGCCCGGGGCAGGGGGCACCGCTCCTCAGCACCACCGCCCCGCTGATATCAGGCAGTGATGTCAGGCGGCCGCGGCCACTGTCCAGCTCGAGGCTGTTTGGCAAACACGGAAGGAGAAGCGGCCAGGGCCTGGGATTCGGGATGCGGCCGCTTCCCTGCTCAGCCAGGGCGGGGGCTCCAGGAGAGCGACGGGCCTTGGACTTTCGACGAACTTTTGTGCTCTGGTGGGGATCCAGCGGCAGGCCAGAGCGGCCGGGCTGGCGGGGACTGGCAGCAGAGCAGCCTGGTGATGCTCACAGGCGATGAGAGACTGGGAGGAGACACCGCACACGGAGAGGACAGAAAAACAGCAGCCCTGCTTGGAAGGGACGACYGCTGCTGACTGCAACCCCACCGCCCCTAAGTCCCAGTAATACGCAACAGGCATTTATGGCAGATCAACGTCAAATAACACCCATCTGCTAAAATAAAGGCTTTTGCTCTTTACAAGATGGTTGAACTGCATTTCTGTTTGGAGAGATAATTGTGCCCTCCAAATTGTGATGTACTCCATCATTTGGCTTAGGCACTGATCTTGCAGTGGAAGGTCCCATATCATTGGAGGTCCCAGTTTCTCCTCCAGTGACTCTAACAGTTTCAGAAGGGCTGACATTAAGCAAGACAACCCTCACCATCTCTTTTCTGCACTGGTCTCCTCACGGCCTGTGATAAAGCTCTTGAGAAGCAGTGTAAAACCAAACAGTTTTACAGGTGCTAAGAAAACCACTGGGATGTATTTCCTCCACTGGGAATTAGGTACCTCATTTGCTGCCAAAGGCTGAAATGTTTATAATCTGTGGGTGGCTCCAAGGAAGGCTTTAGCTGACACAGGATTGTGAAGTGCTCAAAGGATGCCTGCTCTGTCTCAATATGCACAGTCCCCCACCAAGGCTGTAGCAGCAGAATTCAAATAGTCCATAGCCCATAGCCCAAAACTCACTCGGGCTCTATGAGTTCCCAAAAAGGAGCTTGGGGATACAACAGTTCCAATACAACAGACTCCTGCAACAGCAGGGTGAGAGTTACTAAGAGTTCACTCTCTAGTCCCATGGGGGTGTGCTTTTACGGAAAGCTTTGGATCAGTGGGGCCA